AAAAATGTACAGTTAACTGCTGAAGTTCAGTTGCCACACTTCAGTGTCAGATATTATCAACATAAATGAGCCACAAGTTCCCTTTACAAGGCAGGCTACAACCTGTTTACACTTCAACTTCATTCTTTGAGAAGTTATTGTAGCTTTATGTCGGCAGCAATCATGCATAAAGAGCTGTGCAGAGTATAAGCATAATCTGTCTTACTGTGGTAAATACTATCACATAATTACCCTAAGTGATCAGATTCATTTCTGATGCTACTCCATAAGATTCTTCCTAACACAGTTTTCCTGTAATAAATGTTTTTCTTGCATTTTAGCCTATCAATTTACACACTATTCCAAAGCCCATCAAATTCAGGACTTCAGATGAGTTCAATATCAACCATTACACAAGAGACAATTAAAGATGACCTAGTCATAAATAACAAGAACACAGTTAGGAAAAATATCTACAGATGCCTAACAATTTTCTTAAATCAAAAGTACAAGCTCATGATACAACTTTTGTGAAAAGAAAATTGATCCCCTACTCCCCAACTATACTGCCTTTTAGCATATCTCACCACTTGAATTCCTTCCCCTGTTAGAGGGCTGGCAGGGATTAATTACTTTTAATTGGTCAATTAAGAACCAGGGAGAAGGAACCACACAGGTGAATGGATTACTCATACACTTGCAGCTGCTGCAAAATACCTGCAGAGGAAGAAGATAGGGAAGTAGTCAAACACAATTGTTCTCAGCTGAGAAATACTAGTGTGATGAGTAGAATTACCCTTTGCATACTTGAGCACATTGAAACAAGTCAGAGCTGCTCATTCTGTCTCATTAGAGTATGTTACTCCTCTTCAGCACATCGGGAGCCTTCTCCAGAGCTTGCTGGAGTCATGGGAAGGATTCCTGGTGTCGCTGGTCAGCATAAGCAGGGGTAGGTCCCACTCTGTGTTTATTATATCTCTGTCTGACACACTCAAAGTCTCAGGACTTCTGCGGTGACTAAGAACTTTAGCTCTCCTTTGCCAACAGTGACTGCTAAAGCAGTGTGGTTTGGGCTCTTAGATGCCTCAAGCAAGCTGGAATGATCACCCAGGCCAACTGTAGGCACTTTTTCATAGCTGGCTCCCACAGTACAAATTAAAACCATGTAATTTTAATCAGTTGCATAATTTTACATTCAAACTCAGTGGCTTTTGGGGAAGGAGGGCCACACAGTACATCATTTAGAAGATTCCTTTAAGAAGCTGATTTAGAAGTGACTTGGCTTCTACATTCATGAGGCTAAAGGCATGTCCATGCTGCAGCCCCAACGCTGACTGTGATGATGTAGGGAAAACCACATAGTGGGAGCTCCATGAGAGAGGAGGAGGTATCCTGCCAGGAAGTCTGATGCTAGGTGGACATTATATACTTGCTCACTGCCCTCAAAGTCGTCTAAAATGTTTTTTCTTCTTCACTGTGTTTCCTTTCCATCATTTTACGCTGTGCCTCTTTCTTTGTAAATCACACAGTAAATATACAGAGAGGCAAATGCCTCACTTTACAGCACCTAGGACAGTTAGGATTAAAGCTCCCTTAGCTTTACACACACATACCTAGTCCTACCAAAATAAAGAGTCTGCTTCCTCTTAATCAAATGCCATTTGACAACAGCTGAGCAATTCTGCTGGCTTTTCTACAGCCAAAGTTCTACAAATTCTGATGGCAGCTTTTTGCAATTTTTAAACTACCACCAAGTGAAAACCTCCTTTGCCAAAGCTCTCCTTCCAATCCCAGGTTTATTAAACACAGTGCTCACTGTCACATGCAGAGAGGTTTATCTAACTGCAGAATCTGAAAACTGACCAGTTTTCAAAATTAATACTTGCTTGAGTGTTTGTTGATGTGAGCATTTAAAATAAAACAGCAGGCTGTTAACAGAACCCACCCTTTTTCTGATACCTCTGGAAAGGAAGCAGAGAAAGGTGTTACCATAAACAGGCGGTCTGAAATAACTCTCTAAAACTCAATTTAGAGTTTTAGAGAGGGAACAGTTTTGGTTTTTTCCTTTCAGAAAGGCACACTTTATTAGGTTGTGTACAATTGTACCCTGACTATTTTTCCCAACTACAGGCACAAAGCAAGCAGACTGTTACTTCTTCCTATTCATCATTCTATGGACACCTGGAGAAAGCACCAGAGATACCTCTGCAGAAGCCCCACCTCCACAATCTTAGTAGGGTCTTGGTGTAAGAGCCCTCCTCTTTTGAGCTCTTAGCTTCAAATATGTTATGCTTCTTATGAATATGGCTTTTCTCCCTTGGATCATGACTTGGGAAAACAATTATGACTTTTCTGTAGCACTTGTGGAAAATTAATGAGTGCCTTCCCACACAGACATAGAACGAAGTACCTTGTCTCCTGAAAGAGGGCTTTTATTTCAGTCTTTTCTTTTTAAGTGAGAAAGGTGGAGAAAGGATGCTTTGCAGACAAATTGCACAGTCCCTGCTCAGCTACAAATTTCCACTTCACAAAATTAATTCATTTAGGCCTTTGGTGAAGCATATAAGGCTAAAGAAGCTAAATCCAGGACCCTGGTAATAATTATAGTAAGTAAATATCAAGTTAAAATAATACCTGTTTGTACTGTTGTGCTATGCTACCCGAATATTAGCTATAAACAGAAATTCAGAAGAAACATAGTGACAGTCTAAACAGTTATAAAATAAACACTCTTTCATGCTCAGAGCAGGAATTAAATGTGCTTGGTTACTTGGCTATGCTGGCTGAGTACAGGAGCAGCAGCAAGAATATAAAATTCCTGGCCTGCTTCTTTAGCTACCATGAACAAGCAAGGTTTCCTGCAAGGCTTTCCAAGGAACAAAAATAAACATAAAACCAGCATGTAAGTGTACACAAACAGCATGTAATAATTGTGAAGCTACATTCCTACATAGCATGTTACACTAACCACATTAAAACATACAAAAACTTCCTGAAGATCATTTCCACTGTGGATGCTGCTCATTGCAAGCACGCAAAACAGAGTGACTAATCTATTTGAAACATGAAAAACCATCTCATTTGCAAGCTTTGTTTTCTATGTTCTTCATTGCTAGAACACAGGCCTATGGGTTAGAGGTAAAGAGTCCTGTTATGTAAGATTACATAACAAGCTACATAAAACACAGTTTCTTTCTTTAGAGGAGTCTGCCTTTGTCTAATAGTGAGTCAGCATCATCTGACAGATCAATTTTCTGTAAGTGTAGGATGTGGATTTTGCATATCACATTCTCTAAGGGCACCTGTTGGAAACCTGTGTGACTACAGCATGGAATTTCACACCACACAGAAGGTCAACTCAATGACCTCCCAGAGCAGAGACCTACATTACAAAATCTCATCAGTAAGAATGAGGCTGATACCAGATGCCTCAAGTTTTCTGTCCTCCAGAACTAGAGAGGGGACAACAATATTTCTTAAAACTTTCTTGGTTCTTTCTGAAAGGGTTACTGTGTCTAGTATCCATGGGATCATTCAGGTCATAAGGGACCTCAGGAGGTGTCTAGGTCTACTTCCTGCTCAAAGGTCAGTCAGCTGTGAGGTCACATGAAGTTGCTCAGAGCTTTGTCTAGCAAAGTCTTACAAAACCTCCCACGATTTCCAGTTTCTCTGGAGACCACGTTCCAAAACTTCATTGTCCTAATGTTGAAAAAGCTTTTTCTTGTGACCAGTCTGAACATTTGTTGTTTCAGTTTATGGCCACCATCTGCCAGTCTTCTGCCACACATCACTGTGAAGAGCCTGACCCTGCCTCCTCCATAAGCTCCCCACTGGTATGGCAGGCTGCATTAGGTGTCCCCAGAGCCATCTCTTTTTCCAGCCTAGCTTCCTCAGCCTCCTCATGGGGGAGATGCTCCAGCCCACATCATTGTGGTGGCCTTCTGCTGAACTTGTAGTTCATCAATAACTTTCAAACATTGAGGGTCAGTCCAAAACGGTACAAAGTGTTCCAGTCTAACAAGTAGCTAGGCAGAGGGAAGTAATCACTTTCCTCGATCTACTGGCTGGGCTCCCACAAATACAGCCCAGGACGCTGTTTGGCCTCGTTCACTGCCAGAGCCAGCTTCTGGCCCATGTTCAGCTTGCTGTGTGCCAAGACCCCCAGGTCCATTTGAGCAGAGCTGCTCCCCAGCCAAGCAGTCTCTGGCTTGTATTGTTGCAAACTCCCAAAATCTTTTGACATCAACTCTTCAAGGATAGCCAGGACACCCTTCCCAAGCCACATACATCAGAAGCTCCCAGATCTCCAAAGATCATCTGCAGCAGTAAGCCAGGATTAACTTCATAAAGACATGTACTGGGTCTGGCTGAACTGGAATTGGTTTTCCCCTATAGCAGCCCTCACGGTGCTGTGTTTTATGCTGGGAGCTGGCAGGGTGTTGGTAGCACCCTGGTGTTGTGGCTACTGCTGAGCAGTGCTTACACAGCACCAAGGCTCTTTCTGATATTTCCCCCAGTAGGATGGGGTGGGCAAGATCTTGGGAGGGGACACAACCAGGACAGCTGACCCGAACCAACCAAAGGGATATTCCATACCATATGACGTCTGCTCAGTATAAAGCTGGGAGAAAGGAGGAAGGGGGTCGGGTTACCCTCGGTCCTCTGAGGCAACCACTACGCGTATTGGAGCCCTGCTCCTGAGAAGGCCCGACATCGCCTGTCCATGGGAAGTAGAGAATAAATCTGTTTGCTTTTGCTTCTGCATGCAGACTTTTGCTTCGCTTTGCTTATATTAAAACTGCTTTTGTTTCACCCACAAGGGTTAGTTTATCTTCTTTCCCCTCTTTACCCTATTGAGAAAACAAGGGGAAAAAGCGGGGGAAGTGATAGAGCGACTTGGTGGATACCTGGCATTTAGCCAGAGTCAAACCATCACAGTCTATTCTGGCACCCAACATGGGGCA